TAGGATAGGATAGATACTTTCTTTGTATTTCTGCGTCATTTTCCCTTGAGGACCACATAAATAAAACATGGCTAATCTTTCATTTATTTTAATATTTTACAGCATTAATCTATATTATATACAAATAAACAACTCATTTAGAACATTTATATTATTTTTAAACTATTTATAGGCCTACTATTAGCCTAATATGGTTTTAATAAAATATGATGTGTTATAGATTACTAGTTTACTAGATTACTAGTATCAAGACAAGTGATTATAATGGGAAATATACTTAATTACAAGAATTAAAGTGTGACAAACTGCTAAATATTCTATATGATGATTTAGCTGCTGGCTTGCTGCAGCTTTGAATTCATGTTGGCAATGTTGAACTGCCTTTAGCAGCCTCCCTTCACTCTTTCTCTCTCTCTGTCTCGGTCTTCTTTTTTGTGAAGGCACTTTTTTTTTTGTCTACAAAGTGTGCCAACAACAGCGAATTTTGTGTTATTTAACTTATAAATAATTTGATCAGACATTCTAATTCTAAGAACGTGGATATTTTGTTGTAATCACTTTTAATCGCTTTACCGACAGAAATACAAAAACAAACTACCAAATTATTAATTCAGCGAATCATCCACTGACTGTAATGTGGATTGTAATGCATCTACCTGTTAATGAACGACCTTCGGTGTGATGCTGTGGAGCGGGCGGGAAAACACGGAGCGGATTAGCGGAATCAGCGGATCTTTAGCGGAGAGGTAACAGAACGCTTTGAGCTGGGGTGAGGGTGGGGGATTGGTGAGAGGGGCACCTCAGCCGATGAGGGCAAAGGGGCAGTGGCTCTAGCCACCGGGCCACCCCCCCTGTGCACGGCCCTGCTTCACAATGTAATAGGATATGTTCCACAGTCTCTGGTATACCACAATTATTGCAATTACCTGATTCATGTTTACCAATAATAAATAATGATTGATTAAGAGCTGTGTGACCAATACGGAGTCTAGATATTATTGTGTCCTCCTTCCTACTTCCAAAGTTTTTCCTTCCATTTCCAACTTGTTTTTGAATGTTGTATAGATGCCGACCCTTTACCTCCCTATCCCACATCTTTTGCCATTTCCTAATCATAGCCCCTCTGATTATTCCTTTCATTTCTGCTTTACTAAGTGATATGTTTATATCTATATCGGTTTGTTTTAATGCCTTCTTGGCCATTTGATCAGCTTCCTCATTTCCCTCTATCCCAACATGTGCCGGTACCCATAAAAATGAAATACTTAATCTATATTGGTGAATTTTGAACATGCTTTGTAGGATATCATATAATATGTCTTGTCTA